GTGCTGGCGTTGTGGCACAGTGGGACAAGCCTCCGTTTGCAGTGCCGGCATCCCACACGGGTGCTGGTTGAATTCCCAGCTGGTCTGTTTCTGATCCAGCACCTTGTGAACAAGCCTGGGAAAGCAGTAGAAGATGGCTCAAGGGCTTGGGTCCCTGCACCCACGTGGGAGACCCAGAAGCAGCTTATGACTCCTGGCTTCGGATCGGCCCAGCTCTGGGCGTTGCGGTCATTTGGGGAGTGAACCAGCGGATGGAAGACCTCTCTCTCCTCATCTCTGTCTCTAACTCTACCTCTCAAATAAATAAAATCATTAAAAAATACATACCAGTTTCAGTCCCTGCTCTGTGTCCTGCATACAAGCCCGGAAGCGGAAGTGCTGAATCAGTTCCTGTAGGATTTTACAGCAAGGGCACTGGGCGGTGAGGGGGCCCTGGAAACCTGAGGCAGGGGATGGCATTCGCACTTTACTTTGGCTGCTCTGAGTTTTAACTGCAGTGAGGATGGAGGCGGGATGAAGGGGACCCAGGAAACAGCAGGTGCAGGGGGCCAGCTCAGAGACAGCAGCAGCTGGATGCTTCCAACGTGGCTGGGGAGGCGTATGGAGCTAAGAAATAAATGAATGACTACAGCGAGAAGTACTGTGAAAGAAATGTAGAGAAAGCGAGTGCTATGACCACAGGAAAAAAAGACCAAAAGGCTCTCTCTGGCTTCCTCCTTCATCCCAGTCCACCAGGCTCCCACAGCTGCCATGCAAAGCCTGCATTTTCATCCCGGATGACTGTGTGTGAGGCTGGGTGGGCGTGGCGGGGAGCCCGGAGCAGCATGATCTAAGGGTATTTGATACTGGACAGGAGCACTAGGTAGGGGTAAGGAGGATCCAGAGAAGGGACAGGGAGTGGTTTGTGTCTCAGATGGAGGCGTTGCATGAGAGGCTTGCTGGCTAAGTACACACACGTCCTGGCCAAGGGATCGTGACAGAGGCAGGAGACCTCATCTGTTCTGACGCCCGGTTTCTGCTTTCACAAAACGGAAGGCTAAGTGGTCTGGTCTGCTTCCTTCTCAGGACTACATGGGGGGGTCTTTGTTTTGTTCACTGCTGCATTTTTTTTTAAAGATTTGTTTATTTATTTGAAAGTCAGAGTTACACAGAGAGAGAAGCAGAGAGAGAGAGGTCTTCCATCTGCTGGTTCACGCCCCAATTGGCTGCACTGGTTGGAGCTGTGCCAATCCAAAGTCAGGAGCCAGGAGCCTCTTCAGGGTGTCCCACGTGTGTGCAGGGGCCCAAGGACTTAAGCCATCTTCTACTGCTTACCCAGGCCATAGCAGAGAGCTGGATCGGAAGAGGAGCAGCTGGGACTAGAACCGGCGCCCATATGGGATGCTGGTGCTTCAGGCCAGGGCATTAACCCGCTGTGCCACAGCTCTGGCCTCCACTGCTACATTTGTAACATGCAATGGGACAGGGTCTTCAGAAAGTCAATGGAATCAGATGATGAAAAAATTATGCATTGATTTTGAAATATTTGCACCAGAATAAACATCATTATTGTTGTCTGTTTAAGAGACAGAGAGAGCTCCATCCACTGGTTCGCTCCCTGAATGCCTGCAATGACTGAGCTGGGCCAGGCAAAAGCTGGGAGGGAGCAAGGAATCTAATCCAGGTCTCCATGTGGGTGGCAGGGATCCAAGTACTTGAGCCATCACCTGCTGCATTAGTTGGGAGCTGGAAACAGGAGCGAAGCCAAGACTTGAACCCAGGCAGTCCGACATGGGACGTGGGTGTTCCAGGCAGTATTTTCACTGCTATGCCAAACGCCCACTTTCCACATGCTTTTTTGCAGTATCCTTATATATGAAGTTCAAGAACAGGCAACACTAACATATGTGGCTCAAAGTTAGAGCAACGTTATCACTGCAGGTGCTGCCTAGGAAGGGGCCCGGGAGAATCTGCTGGGGTGGTAAAAATGTTCTTGAACCTGACCTGGTAGTAGTTACACGGTTTTTCAAACATGAGGGCACTTTGAGTCCACAGAAAGTGTGTAGTAGGAGAAAACTATGCAGGATTTCAAAATTTGGGGCAAAAAAGCACTTTTTTTTCCCCCATGGACTTTTTGAAGTACTCCTGTACCCTTAGGCAGGTGCAGGGAGCCAGGTGAGAGGGGGCAGCTTGAGGCTTCCCCTCTGGTCGGGGAGACCACACTTGATCATGAAAAATGTGTCCTTTCTGTCTGGCTTCTGTCTCTCCTCACTCTGTGTTGTGAGATCGGGGCCTACTGTCGCTGTTAAGAACTTTTTTTTGGAGATGCCTTTTGGTGGACCTCGCATTCCTGTCTCCTGGAGTGGAGAGGAAGTGCTGTGTCACCATGTAATTGCATGTTTAGCTTTTGCAGAAATTGCCAGAGTTTTATCCCTAAGACATTTTATCTATGTTTCCTTGATGACTAATGATCTTGGAGACCTTTTCATGTTTGCTAGTAAGTATCTGTTGAAACAATGAATGAACAAAGAGAATAAAAATGGAAAATACTCCGAGACCGGCGTCGTGGTTTAACAGATTAAGCTGTTGCCTGCAGCACCGGCATCCCATATGGTCACTGGTTCGAGTCCTGGCTGCTCCACTTCTGATCCAGCTCTCTGCTAATGGCCTGGAAAAGCAGTGGAAGATGGCTCAACTGCTTGGGCCCCTGAACCCTCAACAGCTCCTGTCTCTTGGCTTTAGCCTGGCTCAGCTCTGGCCTTTGCAGATATTTGGGGGAGTATACCAGTGGATGCAGAAAGATCTCTATCTTTCCCTGTCTTTCAACTTTGCCTTTCAAATAAATAAAATAAATCTTAAACAAACAAACAAACAAAAAAACCAGAAAGAAATCCTTGTCTCTTGTCCTACCTAGAACCATCAGTGGCTTCTCAGTATTCCTTTCCTGGCCAACAACATCCTGCCTACTCTGGCCTTGCCCACCTACCCCGTCTGCTCTTCTCTCTGGATTCCTGCCATCTGAGCCATCTTCAATACACTCCAAGGACTCTCTCGGCTTTAGGTTTTCCAGAAAAATTTTTTTTAAGATTTTATTTATTTATTTGAAGAGATAGAAAGGTCTTCCTTTGTTGGTTCACTCCCCAAATGGCCACGATGGCTGGAGATGAGCTGATCTGAAGCCAGGAGCCAGGAGCTTCTTCTGGGTCTCCCATGCGGGTACAGGGGCCCAAGCACTTGGGCCATCCTCCACTGCTTTCCTAGGCCACAGCAGAGAGCTGGATCGGAAGAGGAGCAGCCGGACCAGAACCGGCACCCATATGGGAGGCCAGCTCCGCAGGCAGAGGATTAATCACTGTGCCACGGCGCCGGCCCATAGCAAATGCTTTCTTCTGTCTGTAACACAAAGCAGGCCTTCAACCCAGACTTATGGCTCAGCTTAGAATCCCCTTCCTCCAGGAAGCCTTCCACGAATTCTACCCCCAGCAGGCCGGGACTCCTTTAGATCCTGAGGCTCATTTTTTTTTCTTCCTACGTCTTACCACACTTATTTTGTATCTTTACTTTTTAATTTTACTTTTAAAAAATATTATGTATTTGAAAGGCAGAACAACAGAGATGTTCAGAGATAAAGACAGAGACGGAGAGGTATCTCCTATCCGCAGGTTCACTCCCCAAATGGCCACAACAGCCAGGCCTGGGCCAGGCCGAAGACAAGTCTTCTGGGTCCCATGTGGGTGGTAGAGGCCCAGGCGGGGCCATCTTCTGTGGCCTTCCCAGGCACATCAGCAGGGAGCTGGATTTCAAGAGGAGCAGCTGGCCTTGGACCTGAACACAGATATGGGATGCCAGGGTCATAAGTGGAGGCTTAGCCTGCGGTGTTGCAAGCTGGCCCGTTTTTAAACTTCTGTATCTTTACTTTGTTTTACCCTTTTCTTTATGTTATTACTTGTTATCAGCTGCCCCATCTGCCTTTCTCTCTGGATTCCTGCCACCTGGGCCATCTTCAATACACTCCAAGGACTCTCTTGGAGAGTCCCACCTCTTTAAGTTCTATAAGAACAACAATTTTGTCTTGCTGCTGGCAAGACCCTGACATATACTCAGTAAATACCTGTTGAATGTATACATGCGAAGCCCACTCAGCCTTAGGGGGACCTGGGCCAAGGAGACAAAACCACAGAAAATAGTAGCCCTGCGTGAGAGAGACTCGGATGCAGACCCTGGCCCCGTTTTTGTGTGGGGCACCAGACATCAGGCGGGGGATTGAGGAAGAGGGGAGGCAGGGAAGCAGGGGTCGGGGCAGGGCAGCCCCACCACTTGGCCTGGTCCGGGCAAGGTGGACTCGAAATTCAATACACCTGCAGCGGGCTGTTCTAAGTTGATCATTTTGTATGGCCTGGGAATAAAGTTATAAATATTCCAGATGGCCCTGGGAGACGCTCAGGACTCGGCCCCAGGCCTGGGTGTGTCTCTGGCTGCCTGTGTACTGAACAATCCTGACGCAATGACATAGGGGCATTGGCGTCACGGCTTCCTGAGACCCCCTCCCCATGCAGCTTCCCTGGGTTCAAAGTCTGGCTCAGCCCCCTTCCATCTAACCAAGCTCCGACAAACGGCTCTGCCTCTCCAAGCCTTACAGTGTATCCGCCACGTGGGGATAACACCCTCACTTACCTGGGGGGGAGGGGGGAGCGCCGTGAGGAACCACACCCTTCTGCTCCTTTATTGCTGAGCTGAGGATCAACAACCAGCCCCTTCCCCCGTGGTGCTCAAAGAGGGCCCAGGAGCGGCGCAGGTGCTCTGAGCACAGGTGGGGTCAGCAGGTGTTTGGAGTGGCTTCGGGCAGAATCCTGTGTGACCTTGGCCACGTGGCTTCACCTCTCTGAGCCTCAGTGCCTCCCTGTGCAGCGCGTACACGAGTGAGAGCCTCCCCACTTCTCTGCCACGTTTGGGTACAAATCCCAGCCTCCCCGCAGTTGCCGGCCGGGAGACCCCCCCCACCCCCAGGAAAGGCGCTGCACCTGCTTCGCTTCCATCGGGGTGAGCGGCGAGGGTCAGCCCGCGACGCACGCGGCGCTTGGCACACGCTCCCAGAGGGTCTTTTCTCTGCTGGGCACGCACGGTGGGAGCCAGACAGGACTCCCAGCCCCCGGGGGACACGTAGATCCCAGCCGCCCCAGCGCGCCGGGCAGCGCCAAGGGTCCCGGCGCCGTCCGCGCTGCCCACGCCGGGCCGCGTGAGGTGAGCCGGGCGCCCGGGCGGGGCGGGGCGGGGCGGGGCCGCCGCATCCCCGTGACGCGCGGGCCAACCAGGCGGCGTTGCGGCTCCGGCTCCCTCCGCCGCCGCTGCCGCCCGCCTTCCCGCCGCCGCCAGCAGCAGCAGCCGGGCCCGTCCGCCCGCCGCCCCGAGCCCGCCGCCTGCCGCCCGCCGCCCGCGCCGGCCGCATGGCGCTCCAGAGCTTCTGCAGCGCCGAGGGCTCGGACCCCTTCTGGGTACGTGCTGGGCGGCCGCGTGGGGCCGGCGGGCGGAGGGAGGCCGGCGGGCTGCGAGCGAGGCCGGCTGGCGAGGGGAAGCGCCGGGCCCGCGCCCTGCAGCCGGCCTGGGGGGCCCGGGCCCCTTCGGGGGCCGGGGACGGGGGGGAAACTTGGGCGACTCGGTTGCCAGGAAGCAGGGCTGGCGGGGTGGGGGTGCGGGCAGGCGTGAGCCCTATTTGGGGGGCAGGGCCTGGGCGGGAAGGAGGCTTGTGTGTTTTGGGGTTCCCTTCCAGGAGACTAGGGGTTACAAAGTCACCTTCCCAGGACGTGGTGGGGGGGACTCTGGAGACGGGGCAGTTAAAGGAGGTGTCCCCTGGCTCTGCTCGCCCATCTCTTTTGTGGGTGAGGGTCTCCCCTTTGAGCAGAATACCCCGGGGTGAGCCAGGCCGGGACGGTAGACAAGGACTTCCCACCGAGCGGGCTGGGGCTTGGCCTGTCACCCCCGGGTTTGACATCGCCCTGCTCCCCTGTGGTTTCATGTTGTCATCGTTTCTTTTCTGTCTCTGCTTACATACTGCCCGGGGAAGTTCAGGGCAGCAGGGGAAAAGGTGAGGGAAGAAGTGGGCTGCCTCGGGGTCAGGGTGCAGCCAGGGGGAGCCCGGCACGCGCCGCCCAGCCCTCTGGGCTTGACTCCCCCCAGGCGGGTTTCTCTGAGACCGGAGGCGCCGGGTCCTCTCAGTCCACTTGCTGTGGCTCGAGCCCCAGCGCTTGGAGCTTCCGTGTCCCTCTAATGCGATTTATTCCTCTGCTCCAGGAGGGGGCACTTGGGGCGTCAGGCTGTCTCGATTGTTGGTAAACACAGCAGGCCAAATCTGAACTTGGTCGTTTGTCTCCTTTTGCTTAGGAACCAGGGAGAACATGCTTGGCTCTTAGGAGTGGGTGGTTGGCACCCAGAAGTACCCTTTCCCACAGGCTGCGGGGGGTGGGCCAGGGTGCTCTCAGGACCTTGCTGGCAGGCTGTGTTTTTTTTTTTTTTTGGGGGGGGGGTGTCGTTTGGGCTGCATGCCCTTGGCCACATCTGTTGTCCTGAAGGTAGCCACGTTGCAGTTTGCTGCGGGGTTGTCTGCACGTGGGTTCTTGTTCGCAGACAGAGGCAGACCTGTGGATTGTGTCCTGCTTAGCTCAGGGGCCGTCACAGGGAGACCAGCTCTGCCAGGTCCCACATGGAGGTCTGATGGAGCCTGGCTGTGAATTCTGGTGTCCATTTTATGCCAAGTAAAAGGAAGAGGGAGAGCAGGTGGCCCTACGTGGCATTCTGTGTCAGGATTTGTTTTATCAGTGGCAACTGGCCGTCGATGGCGAGTGAGTCTCGTAGAGGGTGTCCCCTGTTTAGCTTAATGTGGTCATCCAAGAAATCCAGTTGTGTGTGTGTGCTTGAGATTTTATTTCTTTGAAAGGCAGTTAGAGGTCTTCCATCCACTGGTTTACTGCCCGCACTGGTGAGGGCTGGGCCAGGATGAAGCCAGGACCTTCATCCAGGTCTCCCACGTGGGTGCAGGGGCCCAGAGATCTGGGCCATCTTCTGCTGCTTTCCCAGGCACGTTAGTGGGGAGCCGGATCAGAAGTGGAACGGCTGGGGGTTGGGGGTGATTGTGTTTTTATTCTTTGGAGGACTTTGGCTAAAGAAGTTGACAGGTGTGGGGTTTTGTTTGCGGCTGAGTGGTAGCTGACCTTCAATCTGGCCGGTCCCCTCTCCTCCCCCAGTCTTTGGCCTTGCAGACTTGCTCTGCCTCCCTCCCTCGGAAGTCCTAGACTTCGTGGATGGCCCAGTTTCTGGAGGACCAGAGTTTGAGGGTAGGCAGCAGGGGAATCTAAGCCTCCTAGAAAGCAGGCGGCTTCTCTGTTTGTTCAAGGCCAGGAGGCATAACTGTGACCCGGAGCAAGCAGCCGGGCCTGGGTCTCGGTTTCCTTATCTATAAAATGGGCACAGCCTCTTAGGGTTGTTGTGAAGGGGGCACGGGTTCGTGTGTCAGCGGCTCGGCTTTGCCTTCCTGAGAGATAAACGATGGTTGCCATCGTTCCAGGTCCGAAGATGAACTTGTGCCGAAGTCCTTGTCCTTCCCCGGGGACTCCCTCTCCCTTCAGCTGTGGGGCTGCGCACCTGCCCCCCACCCCCACCCCATGCATGCCTGACTCCTGTTAGAAATCAAGGGAGCTGGCCCCTGTGGGACTGTATCCACCGTGTCCCTGGACCAGTATCTGCACTGAGCCCTCAGGAAATGTCCAGAAAAACCAGTACAGAGAAATGGCCATGCTGACTTACCACCTGCACAGCAGCAAAAGCCTGGGCGTGTGCGAGCAAAGAGGAACTTTGTTATGGAAATGGAAAGCCCTGGCTTGCTTTGTCCCTGGGTAGGTGGGGGTGATGGAGGGGCTTTGAGGCTGGTGTTCCAGTGATGGTTAGAAGAAGGTCCTGGGCTTTGGCTTGTGGAGTGAGTCGGTCCCAGGGCTGCAGGTTGCCTTGGAGGTGCCCCGGGACTTCCTCCAGCCCAGGAAGCCCCCGATCATTGGACTGAGCGGCCATGGTCTGGGGGAAGAAGACTGTCTTAGGAGCGATTAGAAATTCCTCTTGTGGTGACGCCTGCTCTTGCCTCGGGGCCTCCCAGCAGCCTGTGAAGGAGGGAAGGGACCTTGGCCCCTGCCTTGGACGGCTGTTGAGCCTGAGGCCCAGGGTCGTGTCCTGAGGGGAGGGGATTCGGGGTCCCCCAGGGGGTTGCCCTTGGCCACAGCTCGCCAACCTGTTGGGCTGAGACTCCTGGGAGGCCTCCAGCTCCTCTGTCATTAGTCCTGGAGGCGTCTCACCTCTGGAGTGTGCTGGTCGGGGACCAAAGCCCCTTTACAGGCATTTGTTGGCGGCGCTGATCCCTGGCAGCCCCAGCTTACTGTGTCCCTAAAGGACCCCGGGGCTCCCTCCCCCGGCCCTCCTAGACACAGGCCGACACTGGGGCGTGCTCCACTCCCGTCGGCCCTCCCTTTCCGTATCTCATGGGTCAGCAAGTGCTGTCCTCCTTTCCTTCACAAAGTGTCCAACACTGCCTGCTTCTCAGGGCCGGAGCTCCCGCAGCGGCCCCGGGCACTGTCAGCTGATCCCTGGATTTGAAGCCGGCCTTCCCTCCACCCTCGGGCCTCTGCAGTCTAGTCCAGGGCAGCAGCTGGAGGGATGCTGTTGAGAAACAGGGCATATCTCTCCTGCTCAGGTGCCTGCCGGGGCTCCCCATCCCCTCAGGGTGAAAAAGGAAGCACTCACAGTGATCTCTGGCCATATCTTGTTTTCTGTCTTAATTTGCTCCAGCGATGACATTGGCTGCCCTGCCAGGCTCCTGCCTCAGGGCCTTTGCACTCGCTGTTTCCGTTGCCTGGAATGTCTCCTTACCTTCAAGTCTTTAAAAAAAAAAAAAAAGATTTATTTTTATTTGAAAGGTAGAGCGAGCAAGTGAGAGAGAGCGAGAGGTATCTCCCATCTGCTGGTTCATTCTCCAAATGGCCAAAATGTCTAGGGTTGGTCTAGGCCAAAGCCAGGAGCTCCCAGCACTGGGCCCGGTATCTGGTACTCAGTCTGCCCACGTTGAAGGAACGCATGGTTTTCGGGTGGGATCGGAGCCTCTTTGCAGAGGTCCTGAGGAGGAGGTGGGCGCTCATCTGTGGGGTGAGATGCTCAGAGTGCCAGTGCCCACGTGCAACTGTTCAGTCTCATTGCAGCCCTGGTCACCTCCTGATAGGAGCTGAGGTCTGCACTCCACACTGGGCAGTTAGATCTGGCCCTCCTGGGCGCTGGCCTAGCTTCATTTCAATTCTGTGAATTCCCCGTATTTACTGATTGGAAGAGTTCGCAGAAACAGCTGGTGTCTGGCCTCAGTGAAAAACGCGAGGATCCGAGCTCTCCGGGCCTGCTTGGTGCTCAGCGGGGCCGCCCCCGACAGAACAGGCAGCTGCAGGCTGCGGTCCTTGGCGTGGCAGCCTTCCTCGGGGCACCAAATAGTGCTTGGCCGGTCTGCCTCCTCCCTGACGGAGCCCCCCGGCCCTGTTGGCCTTGGCCTCACAGCTCCTGCTTTGAAACCCACCCGTACTCCGCGTCACGACTGGGGCCTCTCTGCCTTGCTGGTTGGACGCCACCATGGCCGGGCTCCATGTGGTCGTGGTGGCAGGAGGGAATGGGTCAGCTCGTGGTCACTGCCTCCCTGCCCGAGGAGTTGGAAGCAGGCATCTTATTGGTAGGTTGGCTCTGAATCTTCCCGGCAGGGTGAGGCCTCGTTTTCCTGATCAGATTTTAATGGTCGATCAAATGGGAGTTCATGAAAGCTTGCCTGGCCCTGGCAACCGCAGCTGAAGGGGTTGGGGTCATGGGAAGAGCCCCAGGGGCCCGGGGCAGGTGCACCCAGCTTGGCAGGAAAACGGGGTGAGCTGCTGCTTCAGTGTGGAGGCTGCACTGGGAAGAGGCGGGCAGGGCTTTTGAGGAAGCCAGACCGTGGGGCTAGGGGTGCGGCTGGGGCGGGACCCCCTTTCTCAGCTGAGCATTCCTGGGTCGGGGGGTGTGGGTGCTGTCCTGGGGCTCAGGATTGTAACAGCATCCCTGGCTTCTGCCCCTCCAAGATTCCAGGAGCACCTCCTCTGTGACAGCTGAAGATGCCGCCAGACCTTGCCCCGGGTCCCCAGGGCAGGTGACACCACAGCTGTCGGTGCAGAGAAGGAATGTGGAGGACTTTCTGGCGAGACTTGTGTCCCGCATCCCTGCGTTTCCCTAGGAGACTAGGCTGTTGAACCTGTAGTCTAATTGGCTTACTGGGGTTGCCTTGGAGAAGCTTAATGAGGTTAAACTCCACTTAGCAAGGGCAGGAGCCGCTGCGCCTGTGTGACCGGTGGGTCTCGGCGGGCAAAGACTCTTTGAAGCCTTACCCCTGCATTTATGACTACCTCGCCCCCACCCCCGCCCCGGACTAGAGCGCAATTAGAAAGTGGAGATGCTACTTAAGTGTCCCCTTGGCTTAATTGTGGGCTTCATCTCCTGGGGAGGTTGCCAAGGCTTGGCCAGTGGGTGTTGAGGCCCCGGGAGGGCAGCCCCAGGCTGGCCTCCTGGAACCTTCCAGCGACTTCCCCTTCCTGGCTCCGAGTCTTCTCTGGGAGAGCTTGGCTGTGTTTTGTGTTGCCCTCAAGGTAGCTCCTTGCTGGGGAAGGCCCCTCATGGGAGGGCTCTTAGCAAGTGCCCGAGTTTCCCAGGGAGGAGAACCTTAGTGTGGTGGTTCAAGACCGTGGTCCACGCCTGCACATTGTGGTCAGTGCTGTGAAGACCTAGCTGGGGAGCACCAGGTCAGGTGGCGAGCCACATGGAGGACATGTATGCTGAAGGCCTTTCGGAGGGTGTCACGTTGACCCGCAGCCTCAGAGGCAAAGCTGGCCGCGGCAGGACCGGGGACAAGGAACAGTCCTCGAGGTGCGGTGTGGTCAGAGCATCATGGGATTGAACTCCCAGGAACCACAGAGCCTGAGCCTGGTCTCATAAAAATCTTGGCTGGAGTGCTCTGCACAACGCATAGGGCTCTGGCACAGGGATTTAGGGGCCTGGCAGGGCGGAGTCCTTGGATCCATTTATGTTTGAATGACTTGCCTTTTTTTTTTTTTTAAAGATTTATTTATTTGCAAGAGTTTGAGAGACAGAGAAGGAGAGACAGAGAGATCATCTATCTTCATTCCCCAAATGGCTGTGATGACCAATGGGCCAGGCAGAATCCAGGAGCCTGGATGCTTCATCCGGGTCTCCCATGAGGGTGCAGGGGCCCAAACACTGGGTCCATCTTCCACTGCTTTTGCAGGTGCCTTAGCAGGAAGCTGGATGGGAAGTGGAGCGGTGGGGACCTGAATCTGCGCCCACAGGGGATGCCGATGTTGCAGGCGACAGCTTAACCCTCTGCACCACAATGCCGGCCCCGAGTCTTTGCTTTTTAAGATGAAGTGTATCCGAGTCTCATCTCTGAGAACTGTAGGGCGAGCTTCCTGGGTGGTTCCGTGGGATTCCCTGCGCCCCAGGGGCCTTGGCTTCTCACAGCCCGGAAGACGATAAACTGCCTTCTTTCGAGTTTGCAATGATTTTTTGCAGATTACTAGACATCTCTTAAAAATAGTTGTTACTGAATTAATTGATGTGACTGATTTGCATGAGGAAAGCCTTGCACTCCGACTTTTTGATAGTTGCTGTTACTTCGGAAAGGGTGAGCGGGGAGCAGGTGTTTTGCCTAACCATGAGGACGCCCACGCGCCTGGGTTGAAGAACCAGCTCTGGCTCCTGACCTGCTAATGTAGACTGTGGGAGGCAGCCCTGGTGGCTCACAGGGTTGGGTTCCTGGGTTGCATTTCAGGCCTCCCAGCTTTGGCCCTGTCTGTTGTGGGCATCTGGGGAGAGAACCAAGGGTCGGGAGAGCTCACTCTGTCTCCCTTGCTGCCTCTCGAGTAAATGAAATAAAAAATGGTGAACACTCTAGGAGAATATAAAAGGGAAACTGAACATTCGAAAACTTCCTGCCTCTGCCCTCCGTCTGCAGTAGACTTTAACGATGATCCTTCTAGAAAAAGAGTCAAGTGCATAAAAATCTGTAAATATGCACACGGATGTGTGTGTACCTATAATCTCACTTCCTTCTCAGATGGGTTCCTATTCTACATACTGTTTGGTATCTTGTGCTCTTCACTCAAAAAACCAGTCTTGATTTTTCTATGTCTATGCAAATCGAAAGAAGAAATAAAGCCTTTTTTTTTTTTTTTTTTTTTGCAAGCCACAGTTTGCCTGTTCACCAGGCCCCTCT